ACTGCCACTCTGCGCCCAACCTTATGGAAGAGGTACGTGGATGACATTTTGGTCATCTGGCCACATGGCCGGCCTGCTCTAGACCAATTCTTCGACCACATCAATTCCATACACCCAGCCATGAGATTTACCATGGAAGTCGAAAAAGATGGCAAGCTACCTTTTTGGATGTCCTAATAAAAAAGAGACCTGATGGTTCAATGAGCCACTCTGTCTACAGGAAAACTACCCATACGGATGCTTATCTGAAACCGGATTCCCACCACCATCCATCACAGAATAATTATCTCATCAAGACTCTGTATCATAGAGCCCAATTCATATCCGACCAGGAACACATAGACAGTGAACTCAAGCACGTACACTGGGCTCTTAAGGCTAATGGTTACTCCGACTATACAATCCGCAAAGCTATTACTCAAACCATGAAGAAGGACCCTCTTGAGGAGCCTTTCAAAGCCATCACTTTACCCTACATTGCGGGGATCACAAAAAAGATATTCCAAAATCTTGAATAAACACAAGATCCAGGTCCGTTTCAACACATTACATAAAATACGTGATCTGGTTCCGTCTGTAAAATATGTGATTCCGGACATACATTACCCTGGTGTCTACAAACTAAGTTGTCTCTGTGGTAGTAGTTACATTGGAGAAACCAAACTCCATGTCTCGGACCACATTCGTGAACACAAAGCAGACCTTAAACACGGTAGTACCAACACCTCGGCCGTGGCAGATCATTGTTATAATTCAGTAGGCTCACATGACATTGACTTTTCCAAGACAGAGGTTCTTTGTAAGCCATCTGGCTACCATGAGAGATTCGTTCATGAGGCTATCCACATATACAAGCACAGAGACAATTTCAACCGAGAAGATGGATTCTGGCTTAGCAATCTTTGGAAAGATTTGATTAATTATTTCAGGTCTTAATTGATTGTTCACGCTTACAGTGGCTTTCAGATAGCATACATTAATTTTTCGTCTCCCCCCTCCTCTTTCCAGAACATAGATGGACTAGTCCTTCTAAATAAACTACCAAATCGCTGCGCGTGGCACTGACGTTTTTTATAAATAAATACACCATTAAAAAAAAAAATGTATGCAAACCGACACACCTGATGACGACCGTTTGTGTTATGGTCGAAACGTCGTGATAATTTTTATTGTTTCATATATATTTTATTATTTTATTGTTTCCCTTCAACGTGACTTTACCGAAAGAGCTAAGAAAATGCATATATTTTCAGAGTATTTTTTTTGTTTGCATTCTAACCACAAGTATTGTGGTCAATGTAGACATGATTCCTTGTTAAAGGTTTCAGTTTGGTGTTTTAACATCTTAACACGTGTTTTGTTGCCAGAAAAAAAGGGGAAAACCTATTCTCAGTATATTTGTTTTATAAATCTCTACTCAAATTGACATTCCTAATAGTGGCAGTGTGGGTAGACAAAGGTGCTTTTGTGACGAACTTCATACCTTGGTGCTAAATTGCACCCTGAACGCACGACCTTGCCATTGGAAACTTGACCACGCACACGGCCGTATGTTCCTTGCTGTTGTTGGTATTTATAGTTGTAACAAAAATTATTTAAACACAGAGTGTTTGCCACAAATGAACCAGAATACCTCGCTCATCTCGTCAAGGAGCATAAATCATCATCACGTGATCTCCGGTCATCCTCACAGCAGCAGTGGCTTTTGGCTGGCACTCGAACAAAGTCGGTCACTGCATCGAGCGCTTTCAGATGCGCTTCTGCAGCCATCTGGAACACTCTTCTTTCCGATATTAGGAGCTATGCACTTTTAAATAACCTAGATTGAAATTAATTTCTTTAGAGCTGCTTTTTTGTGTTTAGTTTGTTGTCCTTCGGTTGGCTACGTAAGGTGCGAAAGAAGTTCAATGCAACATACATACATACATAACCAGGTTTCTCTTATTCTTAGCTCTTTCGGTAAAGTCACGTTGAAGGGAAACAATAAAATAATAATATATAAGGTTTCTCTTGTATAACCAGTTCCCCATCGATAAACCATACATTGTCCAGTGGGTTTTACCTGCGGCAAAACATACCACACCTACAAACCACGCCAGCTTTACATCATCTCACAGCACTTGCCCCCACAAGTCCTCGTACGCTGTTGGCAATCGTTGTCTTTGATGAAGTAATTCCTAACCTTACTTGGGCATAAACGCCATTGCTCAAATCTTAGAGAACAAATACCTTAAATAACTTCCTGGTGTGGCGTTGTAAGCATCAGCACTGGGGAGATAAAGTGTGATCTTGGCCAACCATTGCCTTGCGATGCGATTCAACGTACAGTATAACACAACATCATCATTAGCAATTTTATGGAGACTATATGCAACTTCATAAATACGCAAACTATATGTATTTACGTAAAACAATATTTCAGAATCAGAATCCTGATTCATTATGGAGAAATCCGATGAGCTATGAAGCTATTTTTCACAGATGTCCAGTAGGGGCACGGGGTCACAGAGTTACAACAGCAAACAACACGCAAATGATAGGAGTTCAAATTATAGGAAAGGTAAGCAAATCACTGTAAGAAAATACATACTCAACTTCACTGAGCTATTATTTATTTTTCAGAAGCAACCTGGCCACAAAATAAAGCTCAACAAAGTGACTTGTCATCATGTGGAAATTTATAGCAGCAAAATAATCAGCATCCCATCATCAGCCACATAGCCTTCTGGTAGTGCAAAAATTCAACAGCATTGGTTGAACGCAAGGGACCTTTGGAGCCAACCATACAAATTGGAGGTGCGATTAGCACGGTTGGTAGTTCACTGGTATTTTTTTCCTGCATGTGTATGCTTTGATATTGAATAGCGCATTGATTGTGAGAGCACAGTGGAATGTCAAAATTACCCAACTATGAAGCTGTCAAATGTCCACATTGCAGGGGAGAGGGAATGATAACATCACAATAGCCTGGCTTAGCTACACTCAGTCGTGTCACTCACACATTCTGTAGGAAGAAAACAAATACATTGCTTGTTTGTCCTCTCCAAATATATTCGGATTGTGCAATCGGCGTCATGTCATAGCCAACACGGTGGTGTGTAGCCTAGTATATCGACACGGCTCGATGTTAGCAACTCACGACTCTACGGGACGTCTGGCAAAAAACATTAACAAGCTGCAGCGTGTACAAACCTCTTTGGCACGTGTCGAGACAAGTGCTGCAAAATCCGACCGTGTCCGTCCAGTGCACGCCGAGTTGCATTGGCTTTAGGTCGCCGATCGAATACATTACACATAAAAGGCTTGCCACTAATTAGCCACAATACCTTGCTGATCTTGTCCAGGAGCATACACCATCACGCAAACTCCGGTCACCTTTGCGGCTGCCTTGGACATCTATAAAAAAAGCTTCATAGCTCATCAGATTTATCCAGTAATAAATAAAATATTATGATTTTGATTGCTGCCTTAGGCACCCTAACGCAACGGTTCTCAGCCGGGGGTACGGCGGACCCCTGGGGGCACGTGAGGTGATTTATGAATGTGTGAAATTATATCATACATGAGAGTCATTGGTGAATAATAATCTATGAATCTGTCAATATAAAATAAATAAGATAACATTTAAATCCATATGGTAACCTGGAACGATGAATAAAATAAATTCCTTGATCGTAAACAATGTGGTTTGCAATAGTAACCAGCGAGCGTGAACAAATTACGTCACGCACCGAGAGCGTCCGGTGATTTTTTTATTCGCTTGCAGTTACTAGCAGCTAGTTAGGGTATATACCTCAAACAATTGGCAATTCTTTTAAAATATCGACGTTCATTATTAGTAGATTTCTTTCTCAGAACCAAAGTTGGGTCAGGCAAGGGGGTGCTCGGTTGAAACAAAATTCAACAAGGGGGTACAGCAGTAGCCAAAACAGATTGAGAACCACTGCTCTAACATGTACAGGGGTGTATGCAAGTGGTGGCTGATACACCAAGCGCTGTGATCCATTTTAGTGCAGCTCAGCGGGCTCTGTCATCCACCAGAAAGTTATGATCAACAATTACCCGGTTCGAATGCTATAATGCCCAGGATTACAGCTACTTTGCTTATAAACTTAGATTTTCCCCTAAGTACGGATCATTTTTCTTTTGTTCTCCCGTCCTGCAACAATGTACAGCACACGGAAGTACATAGCAACCAACGCGCAATTGAAGTGTATGACATGAAACCTTGCCATCATTTTTATGTATGTTGAACTTCTTTCGCACCGTACGTAACCAACCACGCTCAAAATAAACACAACAACAAGCACTTCTAAAAAAGTGAGTTAGTGAAATGAGAAATTAATTTTCGGCGAGTCTTGTAACCTGGTAACAAGTTGTCCATTAAACATCCATTAAAGTATTGTTTCACTTGGTCAAGTACCCCGTTTTTGTATTGCTTAGAAATGTGTTAATCCTAAAATGTAAATGACATTAACTGAGTGCATTATTTGGCCCACATTATAATATTTTGATAAAATAAAATAACACAATATAATATTTTGTTACGATTTAGTTTATGGTATACGTTTAGAATATTTGGATGCAATACATTTCGACACGATAAGCCACTTTGGTGAGCTAGCATCGCGTGTGGCCAGGTCGCTTCTGAAAAAGAGCTACATACGTAGCTCAGTGGGCCTTAGCTGGTGAAATAAAAATAGCTAAATAGTTTAGTAAAAGGCACGTAACCTACACAGACGTGTATGCAAGTGAAAACAGATATTTTTAAAATGAAACCTAAAATATTATTTAATTCTTAACCATGTATTGATTTTTGATTTAAAGCTTTCGTGACTGCAGGGATTCATATTATTGGTTCTTTGGGTAAAGAACCAAGAACATGTATTGATTGTTACATTTGTACGTGCAGTTTTATTAAGGCACTATGTGTTGTTAATAATTGTAACAAAAATGTGTCTCTTCACCTCCCAAAACACTAAATTATGTTTTTTTCTCAGGGACGTTTGTCTTAAGTGAGTGCAAATCCAGTGGTGAAGATTCAGTTTGCGGTTCCTGCGTGGAGGGTGAAACGTACACGGAAGAACAAAACCACTTAGCAAACTGCAACGAGTGCAGCTCCTGCAGTGTTGGTGAGTGCAACAGGTGTGCCAGTTCATTTGTTCGGTGAGCCTTCGCTGGGCGCCACGGTGGCTAGGATATGTTAAATATTTTGCCTAGTATATAGGAAGTCAAGGGTTCGATCCCGACCGTGACGATGCCTCCTGTATATGTGAAGTGTGCATATTCTCTCTGTGGTGGTCACGTGGATTTTTCACTGGGTCCTTCAGTTTTCCCCTTCATATTTAGAAACATGCATTTAGAGTATTTGGCTGCTATAAACTAAACTATCCAACTCAACAATTTTTATTTTACCTGATGAGGCCCAGTGAGTTATACAGCTCTTTTTTACAAGCGACCTGGCCACAAATGATAGCTCAACGAAGTGGCTTATCACGTGGAAATTTATAGCAGCCAAATTATGTAAACGTGTGATTTTTTTTCAAAGTGTGGAGAACCCGGAGAAAAATCCACGTGACCACGGGGAGAGAGGCAGGATGTCATGGATTTGAGGTAGATAATATCTCACAACCGTGGCACCCTTAAAAATGTCCACGTGATAATCCACTTCGTTGAACTATCATTTGTGGCCAGGTCACTTCTGAAAAAGAGACACCGTACATAGCTCAGTGGGCCTTACTTGATGAAATACAAATTATAATTTAGTTTGGTTTTAGTTTAGTTTAGTGATGAGTCAATGTTATGGTGATCTCACAGCTCTCTCACACTCCAAGAGTCATTCTTGCGGGTTTAAACGATCTATGCAACAGGACAGATGCCTATGGGAAGATTATCATAATACGTACATTTATTGAATGCTTTTCATCTAGGATCTCAAAGCGCTGTATAGGACAGCAGGAGCAGACACTTCAAAATAATTTCATGAATACATTTAAAAAATAATTTACTAAATTAACTAAACATTTAATAAGTGGAAGCATATATGTAGGTTTTAAGGCGCATTTAAAAAATGTCCACAAGCTCAGAGATACCGGATTTCTCGTGGAAGAGCGTTCCATAGCCTAGGGACTACAAGGAAATAAATTATTGGTCACTCATAGACCAAAACCTCGACCTGGGAATACAGAGAAGGTCTGCATCCCCAGACTTTGGGGACCTTAAGGGGACATGGGTGAAGCATGTCAATGATGTAGGCTGGGGCAAGGTGGTATCAGAACGTCCTGCGCACCATGAAGAGCCACACGTGCTAATCGGAGGTTTATATTTGGAGAAGCAGGGGAAAATAAGTGGTGATTTTTACTATTTTTTTTGTAATCTGCAACAGGTGAAGAGGAGGTGCTTCCTTGTAAAAGCACACATAATACTGTTTGCCAGTGTAAGGAAGGCTACTGCAGATCGACATACTCAGAGAAGTGTGAAAAGACAATCCCAGGACCAGGTAATGCTATCTGCGATGAAGAATTTGCTTTGTGTATTCGCTGAGATTATTCAGCTCAGTTCAACATATGTTCCTTTATTATGGCATTTTCATAATAAAAAAATAACACAGAATACGTTGATAATGTGTATATTGGGCATATATTATATAATATAGTATATATATACAAACTAAGTTGCCTCTGTGGTAGTAGTTACATTGGAGAAACCAAACGCCATGTCTCGGACCGCATTCGTGAACACAAAGCAGACCTTAAACACGGTAGGACCAACACCTCTACCGTGGCAGATCATTGTTATAATTCAGTAGGCTCACATGACATTGACTTTTCCAAGACAAAGGTTCTTTGTAAGCCATCTGGCTACCATGAGAGATTCGTTCATGAGGCTATCCACATATACAAGCACAGAGACAATTTCAACCGAGAAGATGGATTCTGGCTTAGCAATCATTGGAAAGATTTGATAAACCATTTCAGGTCTTAACTGATTGTTCACGCTTACAGTGGCTTTCAGACAGAATACATTAATTTTTCGTCTCCCCCCTCCTCTTTTCAGAACATAGATGGCCGAGTCCTTCTAAATAAACTGCCAAATCGCTGTGCGTGGCGCTGACGTTTTTTATAAATAAATACACCGTTTAAAAATAAATAAATTTATGCAAACCGACACAGCTGATGACGACCGTTTGTTTTATGGTCGAAACGTCGTGAGAATTTTTTTTAATATATATTTTATTATTTTATTGTTTCCCTTCAACGTGACTTTACCGAAAGAGCTATGAATATAATTTAACAGTGCTCTCAGTGGCCTCCTAATATCGGAAGGAAGTGAATTCCAGACGGCCGCAGAAGCTCATCTGAAATCACGCGATGCAGTGAGCGTCTTTGTTCGATGGTCAGCCAAAAGCCACAGCTGCTGCGAGGATGACTGGAGTTTGCGTGATGGTTTAAGCTCATTGATGAGAAATCGATCCTGTAATAGATATGCTATTAAGTGTTAAATCATGAAACTAATGCTTATTATTGTTTTCTTCTTCCAGGTTGGATGGTGGTTGGTCTAATTATGACATTGATTTTGATCATCATTTCTTTAATTCTGCCATTATGTTATTTTTACCGAAAATGGAGATGCAAAGGTATTAACCACCACACCGATAATGCTGATAATACCACGGCTTAATTATGAATCAGATTGAAACAAAACAACATTTTGGCCACTGCGTGGGTCATGAAAGATTATTAAGGTCCACGCATTAAAATAAATTAAATGAAACTTTTTTATTTTTCCAGCTAAAACCCATTAAGCTCTACAGCTATTTTTCAGAAGCAAACTGGCTATCATAAATTACAGCTCAATGAAGTGGCTTATCACGTGGAAATGTATTGTGGTCAAATACTCTAAACGCACGTTGATTCTAAAACCCTGAGGACCTGGAGAAAAATCTACGCAACCACGGGGAGAGAGACATGCAAACTCCAAATATACAACAGGTGTCAGGGTCGAGATCGAACCGACGACCTCCTCTATACCAGACGAGGTAGTTCACAGCAAGAGGAAGAGTGATTAAGAGTTGTGAAATAAAAAGTATGGAGACACGCGACACTCTCACTCACAATCTTCTTGAGCAGAAAACCGCGTTTGGCAAAGAGGGGAGGTCTTCTGGACTTTTCAGGGAGGCAACCCGCTTCAGATAAGAGGATGCTGGAAGCACTTGCAGAGGAGCTACACAGATAATAATCATAATAATAAGATGCCTTCTCAACAGTAGCAGACACGTCCAAGCAGCTGGGTTCTCATCCAACCCGAGTGGTGTTGTCGCAGGTTTATGGAGCAGGTTCCAGGCATGGGCTCCCTATTCTTCCAAGAGATGGTCTCTGTGCTGTGCCTTTGCCACACCCCAATAACTCTACCCATTTTGGGACATACTCAGGATTTTGTCCTAAACAAGTCTTGGTTCTATGTGCGCAAAAAAGAATAGGGGAAAACATTGATAATTTCTCATCCCATACTATACTGCATCCTATACTGCCTCATGCAAAATGTCACGTGTGTTTATGGTACATCGTCACAGGGGTTCTCATTATCCGTTCATGAAGATTGCAGCCATAGAAGTTCAAACTCATAAGATTGGCGGTTTGCTAGTTTGTTGTCCTCCCCCCGCACCTACAATTAGCACTGTTAGCTACATATGGTGTGAAAGAAGTTCTACACACACATACAACACGTAATAGTGCGTCCGTAGGAATTACGAGCTCACAAATACCAGTGAAATGGGGTTTGACCAAATAATATATCCTATGAGGTTAAGATCTTTATGGTTTGAGTAAAAGTTTATCTTAAAATTTCTCCTAGCCCTCAAATTTTCCCTCATTTAGAATCAACGTCAGGCATACATAGTATTTGGCTGCTCTTATAAATCTCCACGTGATGATAAGCCACTTTGTTGAGCTGATATAATTTGTGGCCGGGTTGCTACTGAAAAGAGCTACATAGCTCAGTTGGCCTTACCTGGTAAAATAAAAACATGTCCATTCATTTTTATTTAAAGCTTTCGTGACTGCAGTAATTCATATGCTTAGCTCTTTCGGTAAAGTCACATTGAAGGGAAACAATAAAATAATAAAATATATATAAAACAACAAAAATCTCACGACGTTTCGACCATAACACAAACGGTCGTCATCAGGTGTGTCGGTTTGCATAAATGTATTTATTTTTAAACGGTGTATTTATTTATTTATAAAAAAACGTCAGCACCACGCGCAGCGATTTGGCAGTTTATTTAGAAGGACGAGTCCATATATGTTCTGATAAGAGGAGGGGGGAGACGAAAAATTAATGTATGCTGTCTGAAAGCCACTGTAAGCGTGAACAATCAATTCAGGCCTGAAATGGTTTATCAAATCTTTCCAATGATTGTTAAGCCAGAATCCATCTTCTCGGTTGAAATTCTCTCTGTGCTTGTATATGTGGATAGCCTCATGAACGAATCTCTCATGGTAGCCAGATGGCTTACAAAGAACCTCTGTCTTGGAAAAGTCAATGTCATGTGAGCCTACTGAATTATAACAATGATCTGCCACGGTAGAGGTGTTGGTCCTACCGTGTTTAAGGTCTGCTTTGTGTTCACGAATGCGGTCCGAGACATGGCGTTTGGTTTCTCCAATGTAACTACTACCACAGAGGCAACTTAGTTTGTAGACACTAGGGTACTGGGGGAGCTAAGAATATGTCCATCTATATCGTTCTTTAGATACGTCCAGTACTCACTGAGCTGCATTGGCTTCTGGTTGCCAAACAAATACATTATAAGGTCTCACTCATCACACACTACCTCGCCTGGTATGCAGGAGGGCGAAGACTCGATCCCGACCCTGATGCCTGTTGTATATTTGGAGTTTGCATATTTTCCCCGTGGTCATGTGGATTTTTCTCCGGGTCCCCCAGTTTTTTGCCTCCACATTTCAAATCAACATCATGCGTTCAGAGTATTTGGCTGCTATACATTTCCACGTGATGACGATAATCCACTTCGTTGAGCTATCATTTTCAATGCCGAGGTCGCTTCTGGAAAAAGAGCTATGTAGCTCAGTGGGCCTTCAACATGGTAAAATAATAAGTAGTTTTTTTATTAATAAGGCCGGCTTATTACAGTTCTGAAAATAAGGCCGGCTCATGCCGGTTCTGGACTTCTACCCCTCCATGTCGACGCTTCCCGCCTTTACAAAACCCCCACCGCCGACCAGCGCCGCCCATGATCTAAACAGTGTGGGCAGCCTTGATCCAGCAGTGGATTGCCAATAGAGCGGTACATGAAAGCTCGAATTTTTTTTCACGGATTTATTTATTTATTTTATCGTTCACTACCGCACTGCTCACCAACTTTGTATCTCTCATTTGTATGGAAACCCAACCGTGGGAAGTTTTAAATGGAAGGGATTATGAAGAAGTCTCTCTGATTGATAGACTTTTCAACGTGAGTATACTTTTTTAAACCTGTTTTTATACCTAAACCGTTTAAAATTCAACAAATTATGAATCTGGAAAAACAACTCAACGTCTAACTGTAATATTTTCCAAAGATGCACGACAAATTCCGTGGTAAATCAGTCCGATTCATTGTGTTTATGACTACATAGTAATTCGAAGTAACATTACAATAAAAAATGAAAATCTCCGGTAAATGTATACACCCTACGTCAGCATTAAAGATAGTGAAGTGTGTATCAAAATCACCGTTAACTTTAAGGTTGTGTTGAATTGCACGCCCTGGAACTGTATTGTTAATTGAAAAGTGTCAAATTTGGAGAGTACATTATGAAAAGATCTAAGAATTTATCAGGACCACTACTCTGACCATGGGCACATAAGAAATGCAGCTCCTGCTAAATTGGCAAAAAGGCATTAACACTCCACTATAACTGTGGCAATACAACATTTAAATTCAGGTTGGCTACGTATGGTGCGAAATAAGTTTAAAACAAATACGTCTATTTTTTATCATGCACAAGTATAATTGGTTATTTTCGCATGATCACAGGTGAGACACTGGACGTCTAGACAGAAACTGATTTACAAGAACATAAAAAGGCTGCAGAGCTCCATTGGCAAAAACCCTCAACACCTCCTCGATGAACTGGACAGCCAGGGTACCATCTCTCACAGCGTCTACCGAGAGGTCCAGGACACTCGCACCAGCTCTGACCGTGCGGCAAATCTGATCAAACAATTTCTGAACCACGGCGAGACGGCCTGCCAGAACCTCTTAGATGCCCTCCACGCAACCAGAGACAAGTATCCGGACCTTGCGGACTGGCTGGATTCCCTCGGTATGTAGCTTCATTGTGGATCATGACATGCAATTGTCCTTCCGTCCTCACCTCCGATAAGCACGGTTGTTTACTGCGTATGGTGCGAAAGAAGTTCAACATACATACTACACTATACATTACTATACACTACACTATACACTGCACTATACAATACACTATACACTACAATACGCTACTATACTAAATAGAAAACAAATTTTCTTTATAAATGCACTTGGTGCGTAGTTTGTTTTCCTTCCCCCGTACCTCGATTATCAATGTTGGCTACATAGGGTGTGAGAAATTTTCAACATACATACATTATTGCGGTGGGTTTTTCATGGACTACTTTAGAATCCAAATATTTATGCTGGAGGAATCTGAAGGGCTTTTAAGCTTGTGATTTAAAGCTTTCGTGACTGCAGGGATTAATATTCTTGGTTCTTTCGATAAAGTCACGTAGAAGGGAAACAAAATAATAAAAATATAAAACAATAAAATTCTACCGACGTTTCGACTGTAACACAAGCAATCATCATCAGATGTCCAGTAGGGGCACGGGGTCAGAAAGTTACAATAACAAACAATACAAAGGCATGAAAGGCGTTCAAAGTATAGGGAAGTTAAGCAAATCACGAAAAACAATATGTCCAAGGCGTTATCAAATCCTTCTCCAAGTTTTCACACATATAGGACATAAATATATATTGTATAATATGAAACAAATTATAATCTTAAATGTTTTATTTGTGTGTGTCCTGACAGAACGTAAATCCATTGTGGTCGTTGAAGGAAGAAATATGCATCTCGTCCGCAGAAATAAACTTCATCTGAAGCGGTGGATCAGCGATAACCCAGACTACCTCATTGAGGAGCTGGAGAATAAATTTATCATTCAGAAGGACGCCTCCGACGAGGCCAAGAATCAGCGCAATTCTTTAGAAGTCACCGGCTTCCTACTCGATCACATTATTAGCTGTGGGGAGGAGAGGTGTCGGGAATTCCTCGATGTGCTTAAAACCATACTCAGGTACCCAAAAGTTAACAAATGGATGAGCATCCTGGGTAAGTACATGAGTGTGTACGAGACTACCACGGTGCCGATATGTTAACCACCTCGCCTGGTATACAGGAAGTCGTGGGTTCGATGCCAACAATGATGCCTGTTGTATATTTGGAGTGTGTATGTTTTTCGCGTGGTCGGTTATTTTGTCTCCGGTGTTCTCTGGATTTTCCATCCACATTTTGATTCAAAGTGCGTTTTTTCCTGACCTGATCCTATTTTGCGATCCCCAAGATTGATCATGCCATCCTCATTTACACAACGTGTGCTCCTCCCTTGATATAAACCCTTTCCCATTCCGATGACGTCCGTGTTCGTTATCAGAATAAAATAACGTGATTGGTACCGAGGTTCCCACAAGACCATACGGGACAATGTGTGGCACAGTTTGGCGCCAGCTATCATAGAGTGTGGTCTTGTCGCTACAGTTCTCTGCAGTGAGTTATTAAGTATTTTAAAACAATGGTACTGCTATGCCTCTCAAAATACATTTAATGCTGAATCGCTTGCATATTCTGAGATTTGACAGTGAAGATGACACCCACCCTGAGACTTGCAGTCATCTCGGAACGGGAAAGGCTTGAGAGTCAAACGTTCAGACCTGTAACGTATATTGGAGCTAAATTTTTAAAAAATATATGCATTGAAAGGTAAACTGCACATTTCTAAGACAATGAGCAGATTTTTGTATGCATTCTACCACATAAACGGATAAATTTTGACTTAAAACGTCTGTGAATGCAGGAATTCATATTCTTTGGTTCTTTCGGTAAAGTCACGTAGATAGAAAAAATAATAAAAATCAAGTGAATAAAAAATACCACGACGTTTCGATCGCAACGCAAACGGTCGTCATCAGGAAAATGGGTTAGCCTCTAAAGGCAAACTGTTTATAAAGGTTTTGAGATGGGCGTAGCCCAAGTGTGAAGCAGAAGATTAGTGTTGGATTAAAGTCACATTGGAAAACTTTGATTCTTACCCGTGTCGTATCGATAGTTCAATGTCCATGTGCCATTTTATTGAGGTACTACTACTGCTGTGTGGTATCTCGATGTGGTCAGGGACTGTATTTGCTGTTGTTTTTGCTGACTTGCCCAAGTTTGATTAATCGACTTATATACAGCAATTATATACAGTAATTACTATTTATTGACTTGCTTACCCTTTTCCTCAATTTTTCACTCCTATCGTGTTTTGTATTGCTTGCTGTTGTAACTTCAAGATCTGCCCATAATGGACATCTGTGAAAAAGAACATCATAGCTCATTGGATTGTTCCCTTAGTCTAAATAAAGATTCTTATTACGTTATGTTCCCTAATCCACGTGTTCCTCTACATGTCCATTCTTCTTCATGCACTTTTTATTTGTATCAGTTGTCCATGTTTCTGACACATATTTGCTTTGTAAAATTGATTATGTTCACATTAAATTTCTAACATTATACTTTTACTGACCCAATAGAAATGGAGGCGGATCTTTACAAAGAAGAGAATAGTTTGAATCAAGGTAAGGTCATACCATCTTATTAAGAGAATAGACCCCTCAACACCGTGGGACGCCACGGTGGCTAGGATATGTTAACTACCTCGCCTAGTATACAGGAGGTCGTAGGTTTGATCCCGACGCTGACGCCTGCTGTGTATTTGGTATATGCATGTCTCTCTCTCACCCCGTGGTCGCGTGGATTTTATTCAGGTCTTCCTGTGTGTTCCTCCATATTTAGAATCGACATGCGTTCAGAGTGTTTTACTGCTATAAATCTATACATGATAATCCACTTGATTGAACTATCATTTGTGGCCAGGTCGCTTCTGAAAAAAAGAGCGATATAGCGCAGTGGGCTTTACCTGGTAATATATTTAGGTTTATTGTTTTTAGTTTAGATAGGCCTATGTAAGCAGAAGTATATAAAATAAAGAGCCTAAATATTTAATAAAGTCAGGTTCTCGATGCGGCAGACTCACTTCTCTTTATGCAAGTCTACTAGCCACTCTTTCTTTACTGCTTCCTGAGACAAATTCGCATTGAGATGCTATGTTAATCCCATATTGTATGGTACTGCATTGTTTGCGAAAACAACTCTCTTGCAGTTGAGAAGGCGAGGATTGTGGTCGTTGACGGCAATGCGCTATACATGATCCGTGGCAAAAAGCCTGAACTGAAGAAGTGGATTGCCAGTAACAGCTCCTCATTTACTTTACTGGACAAGCTGAAGACGAGGCGACACATCTCAGAGCACATCCACTCCAAAGCTGCGGGGATGGTCACAATGGAACAAGCCGGATTCCTGCTCGATCACTTCATCGATGGAGGAGAGAGGAAGTGTCATAGCCTGCTGGAGACACTTCAGGAGCTCAGAGAGCACTACCCACAAGTTGACACATGGCTGGATTCACTTGGTACGGGAACGCACTTGTACAATATTTACTATCAGTGCTTATTTATGTCGAAAGTATGTTGAACTTATTTCGCAACGTATGTAGCCAAGCGTGCTATTCGGAGGTGCGGGGGAATGACAACAAACTAAACACATAAGCAGTTCTAAAGAAATTTGTTCTCAATCTATACCGCCCCATCTCTAATGAGATGAGGCGGTAATTCAGGTCATTTTGTTATGATATTCAGCATAATGTGAATGTATTCATAGGAAATCTTGATTTGAAGCTTTCGTGACTGCAGGAATCCACACTCTCTGGTTCTTTCGGTAAAGTCACGTAGATAGAAAATAATAATAATAATAATAATAAAATAACACCACATTTGGGTCACAACACAAGCGTCTGTCATCAGGTGAGAAGGAATTATCTCATATTGTGGCTTTATATAGGCACGGGAGGGGGTGGAAGGGGGGGGGGGGGCTGGGTTTTTGTAGAGTCGTGGCTGCAGGAGTTCACGGGGGGAGAGTGGGGAGGGTTTGTGGCACGCAGAGACAGGTGGGGGCTGGAGAAATTCGCATGTCCATGAGCTTGAGTCGTTGCTGGAGGGGTTCATGGGGGGGAGAGCTCATGGACATGCTAATTTATGCAGCCCCCACCCGTCCCTGCGCGCCACAAACCCTCGCCCAGTGAACTCCTGCAGCCACAACTCTACAAAGCCCCAACCCCCCCAATCCCCCCTTCCCGTGCCTATATGAAGCGACAACAGCAGATCATTATTTATTACCTGATGATGGACGCTTGTGTTGCGACCAAACCGTCGTGTTCTTTTATTATTATTATTTCTATCTATGTGACTTTACCGAGAGAATCAGAGAGTAAGTATTCCTAGGCAAGCTGGTATTGCAGTTAGCATATGATGAAGTCATTTTTAACGACAAACCCCGCACCAGCGTGACGACAACGGTGATGAATGTACCGCAGAAAACAACTCGCAGATCGTGGTTGTGAAAGAGGGGATGAGAGAAAGAATCACCAAGAGCCACGAGGATCTGAAAAAGTGGATTGCCAAGGACCCCTGCCTCCTGCTGGACGAGCTGGACAGCAAGTGGTACATCCAGCGGCATGTCTACAACACGGCCAGAGACATCAAGGACAAGGGCGAGTGTGCCGCCTTCATTCTCGAGCACTTCATCAGTGGAGATCAGGAATATCAGAAGCTGCTGGTAGCTCTGAAAGCCGTGCATCTACATTACGATGATGCACTACGTACTTGGCTAAGCTCCCTAGGTAAGTGATACTCTAGTTACGTTTTTAAACCATCACACGAACTCAGGTCATCCTCGCGGCAGCAGCATTTGGCTGGCCATCGAACAAATATGGTCACAGCATCGCAGGTTTCCAATGCGCTCCTTCGACCTTGTGAAATGCTCTTCTTTCTGCTATTTAGCAAGCCACTGAATCTATGCACTTTTACATCATCTTGATTGACTAGAGGAAGTGTTAGACAAGAGGACGCCAAGAGGATGCCAAAAGGCGTCCTCTGGTCTAACACCATTTGAGACTAGGCTCCAAATAAAGCTCTCTCTGGTGTGGACCAATCAGTTTCAATGACAATGCATATACTATTTTTTGTTTGCATTCTGACCACAAGTATTGTGGTTAATGCAGACATGATTCCTTGTAGAAGGTTTCAGTTTGGTGTTTGAACATCTTAACACCTGTTTTGTTGCCAGATAAAAGGGGAAAACCTATCCTCATTTGCAGGGAGTAGTTTCATTGACAGGATGAAGAGTAGAGGGGGAAGCAGACAGCTCTGTCTCGACCTCCTCCCCCAGCGAAAAACTCTCAGATATTATTCCGTTTGTCATAACTGAGGCCGTGGGATGTGTGTATATGAGTTTGCACATGTCTATGAATTGTCAGGGAAATTTAACTTTACTCATTACCCTAAATAGAAAGGCCCATTCAACTCTATCAAACGCATTTCCCCCATCCAGCATCAAGGCATGTGCGGCGAGATTGTGCCTGTTAATAATCTCTGTTGCATTGTCGAGGGTGCTGACGTTTTCAGCAGAGTCTCTATTTTTGAAGAAACTTGTCTGAGCTGTCCATATAATCGCTGGCAGAATCCTTTTAATTCTACCAATTAAAGTTTTAGCTAATACCTTATAGTCTGCATTTAACAGAGATAGTGACCTCTAGCTACCCACCATATCTTCTGGGGAGTCTGCTGTTGTTTTTTCCAAGATATTTTTTTATAAGCCTCGTGCTCTTGTTTCCATTAGATAACCTCTGATATGTACACTTTAAGAGTGTTCCATAGTATTTGAGAAGAGAGAGGCAAGAATAGAGCAGAATGAATCTGAATGCATTCCTCAGTTTCCTCTTTGATCTTTAACCAGTTGATTGTCTTCTAAAAATCAATGGTCTAGGGACAAATAATTAGTTTTTATCTGCTTTCGTGTGGTAACAGGGGCCTGGAGATAAGTTAATAATAATCGATTCTGGAAAGCGTCTTATAGGTTCTAGAAATGCGAGTGAAATCTCTTTCAGTAGGTTGGGTCCTCCAATGGTCTGTCAACTGGTGTTGAGTGATTGTTTCAGCGAGCAGAAGCTGCTGTGCCGCATTTTTGTCAGAAACAGGTGAGTGTGATTTATCAAGAACGAGAGCCTTAACCAGGTTCCAATTTCCTCCTGCGAGAATGTCCCCATTCCTTTTCTCAATCAGAGCCGTGATTAGGTAAAACTTGAATTGACCGGGTGGGTGTATAGACGTTCAGAAGGGTGACATCCTTGCCCTACAATTTTCCTACAAGATATATGTACCCCCTTCGGGGTCTAATTTGAGCGTCTCTTGGGTCATTTATATCCTTTCATTAATGAGAATAGCTACTTCTCTCATTCAGTGAGATGCATTTCTTACAGGAACGCAACATCTGCCTTATGCTTGCCTAAAAAAATAGAAGGGTACGCTGTCTCATGATAGGGTCGTTCAGGCCATTGACATTGAGGTAGACTATATTTAGTTGATCACAGAGGGGGGGAGTGGTTTTTTTCAGAGTTACTGTGGGTCAGGGGAGAGGGACCCAATGTCTGTTGTTAGTCATATTTATTGGGAGTCCTTTCAGAGGGTGGAGGCTTACTTTGGCTGCGGACCATTGCTGCATGAAATAAAAGGGATACAGGGGAAAAACAAAATACAACCGAACTACGCACAGTCGAGTCCCATCCAAAATAAAAACCCTTGGGTTCAAACCGGACCCCCCAACAAAACCTTGGCTTCTGGTGAGACTCGAGTGCAGCATCTAACTTCGTCTCATAATTGAATAAACAGAACACAACCAACAATATAAGTCGATGGATAACAAAGTGATCTTGACGAACAAATAAAGGCGCCCATTGCAGCATCATTCCCAACGCTTTAAATGCACGGGAGGAGACAACAATGGGCGGGGGATGGCAGGATGGGGTAGTAAACGGGCCCGAGCCCTTGATATTGTTGAGACTGTAGTCAAGGGAAAATGGAATTGTCTTCTTTGGGCTCAAACAAAGAAATCTGAACATATGGTAATGATAAGAGAGCTTTGGATGTAGCTCTAATCAGGGGATAAGAGGAGTATGACAAGGGTTAAACAGGAAGGGAGAGAGCTGAGTGTAGACTGAGGAATGAAGAACACCAAGTGGATATGAGGGTATCTCGGTCTCCTGGGCCTTAGCCCAGGATGACTCCGTTACTCCCTGCCTTGTCAACTAACTGAACCAAGGGGGCAGGCAAAGGGAGGTTAAATGGGAGGAGACCTCTGATTGGGGGGGGGAAGGGGCACCCGGAGTGGGCAGGGCTCACAAATCAGGGAGACTATGGGGAGAGGGACAAAAAACTGTACAGCAGCTGAGGAAGAAAAAGAGCGATTAGAGAACTGTACCAAGAAGGGGTAGAAGGGAGCAAGGGAGGGAAGAAAAAGGTAAACCGACAGGGTTTCAGGTATGGAGTAATCAAATATGACGAGGCAAGGGATTGAGTGGGGGAGAGCAGAGAGTGGAGGATGTGGAAAGCGGCAGGAGAACGGAGGAGGAGAATGAGAGGTGGGAGGAGATGGACAAAAAGACCAAATCCGTACGGTTGCACACATCCACGTTAACACTCGCATGGGAAGTCTCGCTCTTCCTCGTCTGAATTTTACGCATTTCCAAAGGGAATAGATAAGTTGATTTGTGCCCCAATCTGCCGCTGTGTGCGCATCGTGGACAGGGGTGACCTAGAACTGCCCCTACATGACCATGTCATGTCAGCGATATAAATATAAATGTGTGCAATTTGTTATGTTGTTCGTGGCAGCTAGTTCTTCTTATTAATGGGCAATTCATGGTCATCAAATAAGTAAGAAGGAAACTGGCACGATTTAGACACATGTAGTAGGATGGACAACAACAGCAAAATTAAAAGTGTGTTCTTTGGAAAAATGGAAGGAACCGGAAAGAGAGGGAAGACCCAACAGAGAAAGGCTTGACAACGATATGAGAAGTGATTGGTGCCGGAAATATGTGGCACGACTTGAAGATATTGGCATAAGACGGAGGAAAGTGGAAATATGACGAAATGTGCAGGGGACACTATGGATGGTGATGATGATAATGGTTATCAGTATTGCCCATTATATTAATTGCGAGATGAATACTTATTGCACCTTTTCGTTGCAATCTAGTCTGGTGATGTTCTATCTAATTACATGTACTTGAATGTATGTTGAACTTCTGTCTCACCATACGTAGCCAACCGTGATAATTGTAGGTGCAAGGGAAGGACAACGCACGTAAACATTTTGTTATTAAGAATTGAGTTTTCAAACTAGATCATTTGCATAGCTCTCGTGGCTTCCTAGTATCGGAAGGAAGAGCATTCGAGACGGCTGCAGAAGCACATCTGAAAGCACGCAATGCTGTGACCATGTTTGTTCGATGGCGAGCAAAAAGACATTGCAAGGATGAGCAGGGTTCACGTGATGATGGTTTGTGTTCCTTGACAAGATCAACGAGGTATTGTGGTTCATTTGTAACAAGCACCGTGTGTATGTGTCTCTTTACAGAACTCACAAGGGAAACCAACAGCACCAATCCCCCAGGTAAGATCAGGAATTATCTGTAAATAGTCCTTTCAACATAACCACGCAAGTGTAATGAGAGATCGCCATCTGCTAGATATAGAGAGTTACTGCACGGGCTCTATGGGTTCATTGGTATCCAACCCGGAGCAGGGAAACATCTGGGCCAAAGGCAGTTGGGAAGACTACCCGAGAACCATCAGGAAGGTTCCACGAGGGGGCGTGGCTAGAGGTGGAGCTCAGCTCCACCAATTGGTATATAATCAGAGCCAGAGGAGAACTCAAGGTTGGGTGGGAAGCCTCGGGTCTGGGCTGCGCCTCTGCTCCTCACCAGCGGCCACGTGGCGAAGTCACCATCAGAGCTCACCTCTCCTCCCCAGCACGCCGTCAACCAGCGGTGGGTTGGAGAGAGACAGAGGCGCGACCCTCGATGATGGAATGGAGAGAGAGCGCCTTGTCCACGGCAATAGACGGTTGTGATTAATGCGGAGGAAGAGAGAAAGTGGAGTCGTGCCTTATTAAAGTTTAATAAAAGACACCAGTCACGATTCGTCGTGGAAGTCGTTTATTATGCAAGGAACAAGATCCTAGTGGACCCCAAGAGCGTATATGACAGAAGATCCACCATCAGTATTGTTTGGGCTGCCCAGAGTTAAAGTAAAAGTGAATCCCTATAAATTATAGTGAGAAGTATGGTTAACCAAAAGCAACAGCGAGGATGAATGTATGTAAGTTGAACTTATTTATCACCGTACGAAGCCAACCGTGCAAATCTGAGGTTCAGAGGAACGACGACAACCTGAACACAAAAATCGATTCTAAAGAAATTAGTTTGTCAATCTAGATGATGTAAAAGTGTGTATCTCCAGTTGGCTTCCTAATATCAGAAGGAAGTGCGTTCCAGACTGCCGCAGATGCGCATCTGAAAGTGCGCAATATGCCGACCGTCTTTGTTCAATGATTAGCCTAAACCCCCTGCAAACGACGATTTCCGGAGTTTACGTGGTGATGCTTTATACTCCTTAATGAAACTTGGACCAACAATGGAACATTTGCCGCTTGTTTGCAGAAGTTCACAACTTTAATTCCAAAAGCCCGCACTGGTTTATAACGAAGTAAACATAAAACACGTTCCGTTTGCTTCACAGTGGATATTAAAGATCTTTGATGTCGTTCGAATTGAGGATGCCATTTTGTGCCGCAGTCAAACTGCAAACTTCGAAAATGCTCAGTAAGATGTTTGATAGAACAGCTGGAAGTATGGGAAGGATCCTTGGCTTTGCTTTGTGAAGGTCAAGGGAGCTGTGACTGTGTGGCAAGAGGGTCTGTAGGAACTGCTAGACTCATGGCAACACAAAATAAGTTGGCTGATACAAAAACTTCTAAGATGATGGTCAGGGCTGTATATGGATAGAAGGTAAAAATTCATAATGATTTGATGTTAGGGCAGGTGTTCGTTAAAATTGTATTTTATTATTCTTTATTAAGAATATTTTCGTATTCATCGTTATGCTATATTCCGTATACACTTGCACCATGAATGGGGTTAGCACAGTAGAAAACTCAGCAATCATTCAAAGTGTGATGAGCGTGCAGGACTTGGAATATTAATGTTATGCAGCTTTGGAGGCAGTCTTAGGCAATGAGGCTGGACAATGGGGTCTTGAGATAACATTTTCTAAGACAAAGTTAATCACAGCAGCTATAAATAGGACTCCTACAGCAGGATCACCAGACCGGATATGAAAAGCAAAGGTCGAGGTAGTAATCTACTTAGGCAGCAATGTCCATCATGCGGTGGGTTGAGAAGCAGGCCAAGAGGCTTATTTCTTTGGCAGGGCAGGCTATTGATGTGCTATGGAAACTATTTTGGAAGGCAATAGATGGATTTTAGTAGAAAAAAAATGGTATTGCTTTCTGTAAAATTGTATGGGTGAGAGAGTTGAACGAAGTAGCTGGTAAAGGAGTTTGTTGGCATTGAACACATGTCTTAGACTGATCCTGGGAATTCCGTGCCGATACAGGATTAGCTGTGCCGAAATGTGACATGGTGAGCACTGTAGATATGATTATGTAGGGTGTGGGATGGCAGGTTACCGAGGAAGGAATTAATAAAGGTCCCCACGAGTCTGGCGACCCAGGGATAGACCTAAGACCAGGTTATATATATGGGACCTCTTTGCCAGTATCCAAGTATGAAACATAAACAAAGGTTTTACCCTTCATGGAAATAAAATAGCATTAAGATGTTAAAAACACCAAATATATACGTTTGCAAGGAATAAAGTCTGCATTAACCACACACAGTACTTGTGGCAGAAACATGCAAACAAAACATGCTCTGATAATATGGTACAGGCCAATCAGCTTAAAAAACAATGACAATATTTTCAGAGGATGTTTTATTGCATGTTTTGCCACAAGTACATGTGGTTATTACAAACTGATGCCTTGCAAAAGTATCTATTTGGCGTTTGTGCATCTTAACATATCTTGTTTTTTTGCCAGAAAGAATAAAACCTTGGTATTATTTTCCCATGAAGACCAGGTTGGTGGGATTACTGTTAGGGCAGATGTTGGGAGGTCACGTGTCTACTTTACAGCAGCTGCGGGATCTAGCAGAAGGGTAGGGAGTGTTGACCTGATACGGTCGCATTGATGGCTTTGACCAAAATGATAACTCGGAACTATCCGAAATTCCATCTCATCGACGGAGGAGAGAGGAAGTGTCAAAAGTTGCTGGAGACACTCCAGGAGCTCAAGGACGAATTCCCCGAGAACAAGCAGTGGCTCAGCTCTCTCGGTATGTTATTGCTTGCTGCTTACGCCGCTGCTGCAGGAAAGGCCTCCACGAGATGCATCTCAGGAGTTTCCATGTTCTCCTCGTGGTCACGTGGATTTTTACTCCGGGTGCTCCGTGTTTTCTCTACACATTTATAATCAACACGCATTTACAGTATTTGGCTGCTTTCAAATTTCTGCGTGATAAGACACTTCATCGAGCTATCATTTGTGATAGCCAGGTCGCTTCTGACAAAAAACTATATAGTAAAATAAAAAGTTGTTTTTACTCATCGGTGAAGCGGAGGCCCAACACCTATTATGATACCACCCGTGCTCAGTCACTGCTGTCACTGCAGAGCCTATTGCAGTGACACAAGTCACGGAGGCATCTGATTATGTTCGCTTGCCCTCTATATGGCGAGCGGTAGTGTAGTGGTTAGCGCGCTGTGCTATAAACCTCATGACCCGAGTTCGCTTCCCGCTCACGGCCAACACCAATTAAGATAATCTGAACCGGTGCTGGGCATACCCTAGGTCGACTCAGCCACAAATGAGTATCTGGTGTAGTGTGTAAATATTACCACGTGGGAGACAAATGCGACCGAGCGTGGTGCTGGCCACCGACCCTCTCGTTTGCCACAGTGTTGGCCTTCATGGGGTGCTGCTAATCGCTAACAGCACTTACCCCAATAGTCTGTTACAGGCTTTGTTTTACCTTCTAAACGTGTTTGAATGTTATCTTTGGCCTTCATTCAGGGAAAGAGTTTCTCACCCTTGGTCTGTCTCTATGCATTGAAATTGGATGAATATACTACCGTCTGGAATGCCCTTGTGTGTTTAGTTTGTTGTCCTTCCCCTACACCTCAGATTATCACGGTTGGCTATGCACGGTGCGAAAGAAGTCCCACATACGTATGTATTATGAATATTAAACGTTGGATGAAAGTCACGTACATCTTTAACCAAGTAATACATGTAAATGTGTATTTATTGTTTAACTGCGCCACAGAAAATAAGGCAGCGATTGTGATTGTGGAGGAGGGAACGCGAGAGAGAATGATCACCAGCCGCGAAGATCTAAAGCAGTGGATCGCTAAGGACCCCTGGGTCCTGCTGGACGAGCTGGATAGCAAGTGGTACATACAGCGGCATGTCTATAACACGGCCAGAGACATCAAGGACAAGGGCGAGTGTGCGGCCTTCATTCTGAAGCACTTCATCAGTGGAGAGGAGGAATATCAGAAGCTGCTGGTAGCTCTGACAGCCGTGCAGAAACACTACAATCAGAGGCTACGCGAGTGGCTAACCTCGCTGGGTGAGTTATGCAACAGAGAAGTCTCGAGGAGGTGGCTCAGATGTTTTTCCGCCACCTGTGATTCAAATGAGGTACTCAACTTTAGTGGCTCATCACCAATGACTGGCATAGAGCCCTATAGATTCACACCTAGTGCCCGGGATTATTTATGAAGACACATAGACTTGCAGATATCTGAAATCTCCATACAACTAGGCAGGTGTGTTGACTCTCGGGATGAGGCACCCCCAACAACTTTAACGAAAATTTGGCCGGGAGCTTTTGCCACAGATGACCTCATAGTACAATAGTAATATTAAATATAATAACATATATTTTATAACACGCCTTTCATATTTAGGTATCTCAAAACGCTGTAAATGAAAATAAAACTACACTCACAAGTGTAGATAACATGTCAACGAAATAGAAAGCTGATAGCAATATCAATGACTACACTCTAAATTCAAATAAAATGAGGAGCTATGTTAAAAGCGAATGATCATACTTACAGATTAATCCAATCAGACACCAATATAAAGTTACAGGACAAACCTGCTGTACAAATAGGTGAGTTTTAAGATGTAATTCATGGACCGAGTAAGGGATTCCACATTTACCCAGCCTGGCCGTGAGAGGCTCCATCTTCCATATGACATGACAGTTTTATGCTTGGAATGACGAGTAGTGGACCAAATTTAGCTGATCTAAGTTTTCGCATTGCATATACAACTTGAGCAGATCGGCGAGATATTTAGAAACCAGCCCATTGAATTCCTTAAACGTGAGAAGCAGAATCTTGAAGTCGAGTTTGTACTTCACAGGGAGATAGTTCAAATCACAATGATGTTGATCCCATTTTAAATTGTTTTTTTGCGCACGTTCAGCGCAAATAAACATAATCTGTCATCGACATTTTCCAGGTTTGTTTAGAAATGTCAAAGTTTTCTACCATTTTTTAAATATAAATTGCTGTTATAACTATTTCCCACGCATGCACAATGCACGGGCGTGTTAATCTATATGCGAACCTCACTTTGCCTGACCCCATACCACGCTGGTCTGTTAACATAACCTTACCATGTACTGTGTATACTATCGTCAAGGAGCATAACCATCGCAGTGGCTTGTGGTTAGCTATTGTATAAAGACGGGCACCACATCGCGCACTTTCAGATGCGCTGCTGCGGCCATCTGGAACGCTCTGCCTTCCGATTTTTGAAAGCCACTGGAGCTATGCACTTTTGAATAATCTTGATTGAAAATTAATTTCTTTAGAAATGCTTTTTGTATTTAGTTTGTTGTCCTTCCCCCCGCACCTCACATTCGCGTGGTTATCTCTGTATGGTGCGAAATAATGTCAACATACAGTACATACGTAAAATAGTTAATTGCACATGATGCAGGATGTCATAGGAACCCAATGCCGATGTAATTAGTGATTTAATGAGAAAGCACACGAGGTGAGGGGCTGAGTTATGGGTCCCCGCGTGGGACCCGTAAATTGGAATTTCAAAACTGTTGAGCCTGTGTCAAACCTATCACATTCTCTTAACACAGCTTTCTAAATAATTTGCTTTCTTTTTTCTTCTTCTCATCGTTATCCTACTACAGATCCGTGACGTTATGTTAATGTAGGTTTTTTTTTATAAATCATCTCATTATGAACACAAAAACGGTGGACATTTGTTTCATATTTGGTAGTCAGTCATAGGTAGGGAGTCAACTGCACAGATGGTTATGGAAATGAGGTTCCAACTATAGGGGCAGCAGACTTGAAGTATAAATCTGTCAGTGAGCTAGGTATAAACTGAACTGTAAACTATTTATATTTTACCAGGTAAGGACCACTGAGACATATATCTATCTTTTAGAAGTGACCTGGAAATAAATATAGCTCAATGAAGTGGCTTATCATGTGGATATTTATAGCAGCCAAATACTCTAAAACCATGTTTCTAAATGTGGAGGGTAAAACCGGAGGACCCGGAGAAAAATCCATACAACCATGGGGGGAACATGAAACTCCAAATATACAGCAGGCATCAGTGTCGGGATCGAACCCATGACATCATGCAGACCAGGCAAGTGAATTAATATTTAGTTGACATATCGCCACATTTAAATGTCATAAATCTGATATTTTCATGTGCTTGTCTTTGTGTTGCAGTGCTTCCATTTTCACCAGATACTCCAATTTCGCAAGATGGTCCTCTGGCAAATCCAGCAAGTTATCATGAGGCTGCATTTATTTTTTAATGACAAGGAATCCTTGAATAGCATTACAATTACCCACTCGTTCATCACACCCCAGTGAAGACCCAAAGATAGTTTCCATGGCTGATGAAACATCATAATTGATCTGCGCAGCCATGATCTGCGCACTTCTAGGTGAAGGACTTTACAATCCATATCTACACCTCATGGTCTCGCAATACAACAACCCATGAAGCTGATGCTTACGAGTTGATTTCATCCTTCCGTCTCCACCAATAACGTCGACCGCTGACTATCATATCTTCCCACAAAGGGTCCAGTCCAAGCGTACTTTAGTTACCCTCTCTAGGGCGCTACGGTGGCTGGGAGATGTACCTCGCCTTGTATACAAGAGGTTGTGGGCTCGATGGCGACCCTGACACCTGTGTAAAACTAAAAACTACTTTTTATTTTACCAGCTAAGGTCCACTGAGCTATTTAGCTCTTTTTTAGAAGCAACCTGCCTATAATGAATGATGGCCCAACGAAATGGTTTATCACATAGAAATTTACAGCAGCCAAAAACTCTAAATGCATGCTTCTAAATGTGGAGGAGAGAGAAACATGCTTGAAGTTTGTGTGTTCTCCCTGAGGTCTCGTAGATTTTCCTCCGGGTCCTCCGGTTTTCCCTCCACATTTTGAATCAACGTCACACGTTTAAAGTATTTGGCTGCTTATTCTTTGGTTCTATTCGGTAAAGTCACGTAGGTAAAAAATAAAACAACAAAAATCACGACGTTTTGGCCACAACACAAGTGGCCTTCATCAGGTGAAGGGACCGTACTGTCCAGAGTTGGACTGAAGACAGTCAAGCCCAGGTCGCGTCCTTTAAGCTGTGTGGGAGGAAACAAAACGCTTTGACAAAGGA